GGAGGAGATTTGAGAGCATTAGCAAAAACGATTCATCCATTTTTCTTTTTTCTTGGTTCTTGGGTTCAGGGTTTGTGTTTCTTCTCCTGTTCTTGGGTTCTCTCAGAAGCTTCTTGGACTGAAGAAAGAAGAGGATCTGCTGCAGAAGGAAGAGAGGAAATGGAGAATTGGGGTTTTGAACTTCGGAGTTGGAGTCAAATTAGATCATTAAATTTCAACTGAACTGGTGAATTTGAGCAAAATCATTGTTTGAGAATTTTTAATTGTCTTTTTTTTTCTTCTTCATGTTTGGTCAGGTCGAATTATTGAGTTTGAGCCCACTTGGAGATATTTATGTCAGCTCAATCCAGGCTGACTTTTTTAATGGACTGGGCTGAAGCTCGTAGGCAAAGGTTTAAAAACGGCCGGAGCGAACTTATACTAAAACTACCCATTTTGCAATTTTTATTTTATTTTATCAGAACCCATTTTGCATTTTCATCCTGAATTCCAATAATAATTGATGTCGTCCTCAAATTAGGTCGTGCATTGTTCTCCAATTATAAATGTTGATATTTATGATTGTATTAACATTGATATTATGTTTAGGTTCATGTTTAGATTAATTGACCAAGGCAAGTGTGCCTGTTCTTATGTACCATAATTTCATCTCCTTTCGTTATAATATTTTATACTCAAAAGACTATCGTTTGTATAAATAAAAAGTGGTTCGCTTTCAAGGTTATAGAGAAGGGATATGTTGGATAGGCTTGCAAAATTGGACTAAGCTTGGTGGGCAAGCCCAAGCCCAACTCTGCCTTTTGGGCTATGGACTGGCCCAGTCTGATATTATGGTCAAGCTCAACCCAGTGTGTTGTGTAAATGGTAGAGCTTGGACCTAAACTTTTAAACCAATAAGTAGAGCCGTTCGACCCGATAATTAAGTTAATAAATAATATATTTATAAAATAAGCTAATATTAATTATAGAAAATTAATTAAATATTCATTTCTAAACATAGTTCTATAAAGAAACCCTATACCATTCAATGTATATAAACACACCCAAAATAATCGATTTTTGGATTTAGTGTCTATGTTGGATTACGGTTTTGCCCTTTTGATTTGAATTTTGAGAAACATACCCAAAACTTACAAGCTATGATAGGAATGTCTTAAAAATTATGTTAGTGACCTCATAACTGAAACATGTTTGGCAGCCTCGTGATTTCTATTTGAGCAGATCGAATATTACAAACGAATCTCGCTTCGTTCACCTCTTCGAACAAAGCTCAGCATGATCTGGTTCCAGATCTCTGTTTTTAATTCTTCAGGCATTTCTACAAAAATCCCTTTATTATTAGTTGCCCATTTCATAGGGCCTTATTGGTTCGGCCCATTGACATGATCATTAGCCCAAAAATTCGGCCTAAGCTAACTCTCAGAGCCCAAAAAGTCTGTGACTGGGTGGCATTTCTACAAAAATCCCTTTATTATTAGTTGCCCATTTGATAGGGCCTTATTGGTTCGGCCCATTGACATGATCATTAGCCCAAAAATTCGGCCTAAGCTAACTCTCAGAGCCCAAAAAGTCTGTGACTGGGTAGGATCTGGGTTAACCCCACTCAGCCTGGCCCGATCCATTTTACTGGCCTAGCCCTGGATGTGTAGTTTTTGGAGGGACGAAACTGTCCAAAATTTCTTTCCCGGGATGGGCTTAGAAGAACCTTTGCTGGTCTGAATAAAAGAAAAAATTTTAAATAAGTATTCCTACAAAAATAGTAAAGGCCCAATAAGAATAATTGGCCGAGTGGGCCTGTAAAAAAATGACCGACTCAAAACGTCGTCGGACTTACAAAACCCGGGAAACCGAATTTCCGTGTCCGCTCCGCGAGATAGAGATACCCATTCAATTTTATTGTGGGCGCAGAATTTCTTCGAACAATTTTCACAGCTGCAAAGCTCCGATCTTTGCCCTAAAGGTCTGATTTTTGGGTTGCCTCCCATCAGCATCAGAACCTCAAATTCGCCACCATGACTGAGGTATCGTCCGCCTGAACTTCTGTAGTTTCATTCAATTTTGATAATCACTTGCAAAAACAATAGCTTTCTTGATTTTATTGCTTTTTGTTCTTTTATAATTTGGAAGGCTTAATTGCATTGTGTGTATGAGTGTATGAATATGGGAATTCAAGACCTGACCTGGGTTCATGACTAATTAGCAAAACCCAATTACATAAGTGACAAGATATCACTGGGCTTCTTGTTCTTGCCATGATTATAGTTATGGCTCCATTGAGACCCATTTGATGCTAATAGCAAATACTCTCTGTTGCTGTTGGGATTTGGGAAAGAAAGAAGGCAATTTTTGCTCTGTTTCAATTTTACAGAAGAGATAATCCCTGCTTATTTATATCCAAGGGCTTTGGAAGTGTGTTTGATTTTCACAAACATGGTGTTAGTGTAGTTTCTGACTTTCTTCTAAAAAGGACTCTTTTTTTTTCAATCTTCATTACTTTGGAAGATAGTTTTCTTCTCTTTAAATTTTGCATACAATTCGTTTTGATTTCAGTGATTTTCCTGTTTGCTGACTCCGACTGATGCCTTTTACATTAGTCGTTGTAACTTTTTCTTTTTCTCTATTTGCAGTATTGGGTTAGCCAGGGCAACAAATGGTGTGACTTCTGCAAAATCTACATATCAAACAACCCTTCTAGCATTAGAAATCATGAGCTTGGTCAACGTCACAAGGATAATGTTGCCAAGAAGCTTGCTGATATGCGAAAAGAGAAAGCTGCAAAAGAGAAGGAAGAAAAAGAAGCAGAACGTGCCCTTCTGCAAATTGAAGCAGTGAGTATTCAAAGGTCATTTCAAAGTTATAAATTGCTTACAACAGTAGTGCATTTACTCCACTAATGGAGGTTCAGTTTATTATAGTAATTCTTTTATGGTAGTTCCTCTCCCATTTAATACAACAGTTAAGTTTACTCCTTGCCTTGTTCTCATCAATACTGCCACTTTGTTAGCAACCCAAGAGTAACCGTTAACTATTCAAAATTTCAAGCCTAATTATATTTACAAAAGACATTAGAATGGCCAATCGGAATTTAAAAAGAAATTGAGCACAGAAATTTCCCCCACTCTATCTTGTTATGGATTCCAATTTATTGTTCAAAATTTACAGATTTAGGTTTATTGAAAGAGAAAGTCTTATCTCCTATGAGACACTAACTTGAGCAATTTTCCCTAAATGTTTACAGAAAGCTAAGCGCAGCTATCAAAAGGATGTGGCAAGCTTTCAGGAGGCTAGAGATGCCCGGGCATTCGATGTTGAAGATGATGGTCAAGAGAGTAAGTACTGGAAATTTGCGTTTCCAGCATTGTTTCAATGTTAGAGCTGCACCATACTTGCAAGCTTTGGAATAACGCCTATATAATTACACCTCAAGCACGTTGCAGCACATATTGTTGTTTGCACTCACTTTGGAGAACCCCATCCTAAAATTAAATTTTGACAATCTGTTGCCTTTTTTTTCCTGGTCAAAAGTGTAGTTTATTCACCTTAGCCATATGGCTTATAGTCCAAAAATATCTTGTAGGTGGGAGTAGGGCTGTTAAATAGGTGAGAACCTTACTTACAGTTCAACTACTTGGGCGACTCACTAAGGACATTTTTTAGTCTTTTTAAGTTAAGACAATAGAACAATCAGGCTACGTTTATAAGCTTTATTCCTCACCACACTAAGCTTGAAAACTCTGCTGACTTAGGTTCCTTACAGCTGATGTAAGCGTAATATGATGATGCCATAAAGCCTTTTAACCAAAGAAAGCAGTCTACAATGGAGAAAGAAGAAAGGCAGACATGCTCATTACAAAGCTAATAAGATTATCTTTTTCCTTTCTTCTTTTTAATTCTTCTTTCTAATGAGCGGAAACCCAAATTGCATTTTCAAATTTGGGATTTTGATCAGGAGAGGAAGACATTATGCTAGTAAGTTCTGAAAATGGGTTAGAATGAACTAGACATGTTACGAGAAATGTGTTTTCAGGTTTGATCTCTTGCCACACTTGTCTGGTTTGGTAGTTGGCCGACAATCGATGAGCAAATCAGATTCTTCCAAAAATTAAATTCTCAAGAAGCATGCCTTTAGGGGAGGTGGTTTATGAATATTATTTGTTAGTTAATGAATGGGCCCTTTATTGCTATTTGAAGAAGCATGCCCTTTTGGTGATTGATGAGTATTTCTTATTTCAACTCCATTATTTACTATTAAAACTGATTCAGCTCTGATTGATGACAGAATGGCAGTATAACAGTACGTCTGGTTATTACTACAATCAAAGTAACGGCTTTTACTATGATGCGAATTCAGGCTTCTACTATTCTGACGCTATAGGTATTGACTCACTGCACTGCTATTTTAATTATTGTGTTGGCTTAATATTCCTTTCAGAAAATATGTTGTAGTTATATTTACATGAAGAAACACAACAGGAAAGTGGGTGGCACAGGAAGAGGCATATGCGAACCCGCAGTTTTTATCAAATGCTGGATATAAAGAAACCATTTTGAAAAAGCCAGGGTCAACTTCAGGGACAGGACCAGCTACAGAAAACAAAGGTGCTGGTAAATCTCAAAATGGGCCTCCACCTGGGCCAGTGGTTTCAGCTTCTTTAAACCCTACAAGATCTGTTAAAGGTGCTCGTTCGTCAGTTTCTGTTGGAAAGAGAAAGAGGCAAGAGGAGAAACCAAGGGCTATATCCGCGCAAGAAGCAGCTGCACTTAAAGCGAGGGAGGCTGCAAGGAAGAGAGTTGAAGAGAGAGAGAAACCATTACTTGGTCTTTACCGGCCGCAGTGATTTGGCTGCTCAAGCAAGTTCATATCCTTAAGGACCTTAACACAAAGGGTATGCTTTGAGTTTTTCTTCTTTCTTAATTATTCGATTATTTTAGTCTAAGTTCCAGCATATACGTATGCTACTGGGTATGCTGCCTTGAGTGGTTGCTTTATTGAGCTAAAATCTTTCTCCCATCCCCTTCTTTCCCTTGTTATTCTATTCTGTATGGTCCCCTGCATGTTCTGATTTTCATGAAGAAGGGTGTGGGAATTAGGATACTGTTGATGTATTCTAGTGTGTTTATTACTTTGGTCAGTGTTTTTAAAGGTGTTCCTAATGCAAGCCTCATAGTGAGGTGAGAGTGATTTAGTACAGCCCGTAGGTATTAGATTAAGCACTCAAACAATAGAACATAGAAGAATCTAAAAGATCGAGGAGACGAAAATATAGATCGAAGGGACGAAAGAAAGGACCGAAATCAGAGAACTGAGAAGGAAGAACAGAAATCACATAGTTTAAGAGAAGGTTTACTCAATATCCAAATCTGAATTTTAAAGAACTACATGGGGGGAATTTATAGCAAACTAAAACCTAGACATAATAGGATAAAAATCTCTTGCTTAAACAGAAATCCTAACCCAAATAAAATAGGAAACTTAAAACTAGAAAGCTGGAAATCTGGAAAAGTAGAAATCCTACTAGAATTGGTAAAACTAGAGAATCTAGGAAACTAACAAATACATTAGGAAACTAATAAATTTAGGTCATATGCGTCCTGCATCAGAGAGTCGCGAGACCTAACTGCCTGAGGGGTTTAGGTGTTCAGTGATCTGCCAGATAGGCTATCGTTATATTCCAGAGGTGTATGCCTCAGGAATGAGGCACACTATCGTAAATTACAATTGTGCAAAACCTATTTACCCCCAAATCAACCCATCCCCACCTCCACCCCTGGTGGCAATTGTCTTTTTGTCATAAACCCTTTCGTCAGCAGTGTTGTTGATTTACCTACTGTGAGAAGAATCATTGGCAATTTGGCATACATGCAAATTTTTTTTCTTTTATATCCAATCACATTGCATATACATTATGTGCATGATTCTTCTAATTTTTAGTTTTAAAACTTCTCAACATTGGTTGCACAGTTGATGTTTTTCGCTTTTTGGCACTGAGAAAAAGTTCCACCAATTTTTTGAAACGGTATAGTTATTGTAGAGAGGGAATGTAAAAGAGTAGTAATGAAATGTCAAGCTGTCATTTCATTGGATCGGCAGGTGCCATTAAAATTTCCAAGTAGGACAAGTGGATGGGAAAAGGGATGCACAGAGGCACAAAAAATTGGGCTCACAAAGTCACTCTAGACATAGATGAGATAGCAAGAGGTTAAATGAGGTAACAAGCACGCAATAGTGTGTCCCATTGCTTATCAATCAATGATGGAGTTGGTGATGTTGCAATCTCAGAGTCTGCAGATATTTTTCAGGATTGAGGGTACTGATAATTGCACAGTTTGGATTTTGGAGCCACATGTTGTGGGATGTGTGGATTTTCTAAATATCCAACTTCTTAATGTTGAAATCATTGCAGGAATTAAAATGACATACTGCATAACTTAAATGGGGAAAAATTATTTATCCATATATTGTTATTAGAAAGGAAAGCTGGTTTATGGACTTCAATTAATATATCTTGTATTTTGATGCATGTGATTGGAATTATTTTGCAGAAGTCACGAAGACTTTTGAATGCAACTACTCTTTTTATGCAATGGCTGGTCCTAAGTTGTTGGTTATATGATCTCGCGTTACATTTCAATTGCCAAAAGTTGCTTGCTGGCATTGCAAATTTGGTGAGTAGCAGTACCTGATATGTTAATTTGTACAATTTGTTGTGACCTTATTGGATGGTGGGTTTCATTATGAAAGGTGTTAATTATTAGGTTCTTCAAAATGATGGGTGTCTGAGCCTTCTTCAATGTGCAACTGCTGGACAATTAGGGTGAAAGTAATCTCATATCCCTAATACTTTTATTTTTCTTTTACTTCCAACATATGAATATGGCCGATGCAATTCTAGTTACATTTTTCAACAAGGAGGAACATTATCGTAACAAAGAATTTATGAGCTGATATCGGCTCGCAGGTGTGTAGTGTAGTAGTTAAATGTTAGTTTTTGTTAAGCTCTAGTATGACGTTTTGTGTTTAGAAATATTAATAAATGTTGTAACTGAGCATGAAATACGGATACCAAGTACATGACTACGTAGTCTTTGTTATTGAGTTCTGATGTTGAGCACATGATTTTATGAGGTTATGATTGGTACATAGAGCACCCATTTGGTAAAGTTGGTAAAAATGCAATACTGTCAAATCTGCTGTGTTTTACGGTCTTTAACTCCGAACTCCTAAACCATATGTCTCTTTTCATTTTTTTTCAGGTGCCTCTTGGAACCACATTAATATGTTGTTTATTGAAAATGCTCTATTGTTAGGCGTGTCAAACCATCAATTTGAATTATTGATAGTGTATACTTGTTTGAACCTGGGGTCCAAATTGATAGTTTGGTAATACAGTTTGATCAGAGAATATCGCCTAACATTCACATTCTTGGGATGTAAGATGATGTCTTAACGTTATTCAGCCCAACTAATTCGAATATTTTGGCATCACTTTGGGCATTTATAAAGGAGTTTTTGTTACATTTCCAAGTGATGCCTATTATTTCTTGGAAAGAGATGATGTTCTCAACACCTTTACATGTCCAGAGCAGGAAGTGAATATTGTCCAAAAACCTAATGGCCAGAAAATTACCAATTTATGTCTCTTTCCTTATAATTTGATTAGGCATGAACTTTTTACGTTCAACAAAATTTGAACTCGGTTATACCACTTTTACCTCAATGTTATTGGAGCTAGAACTCATGGACGACGGGATCGGGGTCTCGAGTCAATAACCATTCCGAATACGACATGTGTCCATTTCTGTTTTTCCTCGCTATAAATCATTATAAATGCCAGAATGTGAACGTGATAACTCCCATTGTTGAACATACAACTCATTTCCCATGTCGATCCACAAACCCTTTACCACATCGAAAAATGAATAAATAAAACTCTATACACTGTTTTTGCTGCATTGCGTACATTTCTCAACCACGAGACTCAATACATACATGTTGAATAAAATGGGGTTCTGGATTCTTTGAATTGCCTGAGGGACAGCCATTTAATACATGAAGGAATTTAGGGTTCCAACTACCACTTTGCCGTTTGCACGTGGTGTTTTATTTTCTCTGTGTGACTTGGTCGTCCCTGTGACTTGTGAAAGGTCATTGATTTCGGCCAAGAAAACAAAGACTAAAAACACAAGGGCAAAGAAAATAATAACAACTTAATAAATACTAAACCTATTGAGGGGTTTTGAGGACTTTCAAGTCAACAAGGTGGTCCGAAGCCCGTGTTGGGCTTTCTTTGGACATCTGGGGCTTTCTTTGGACACAAACTGTCAGATCAAACAGGGGTTAGAGCTTGACACTTCACAATCACAACTCCATTTTAACGTGTCTGGCTTTCGTTGGACCTCAAGGTTTTCTTAAATTTGGCTATGCGATCAATAATGTAATACGTGTTTTTACATTATTGGACGATGATAGAAATACAATACTGTCTTTGTTACAAGAAAGGTATTTTCGCATCTTCAGGGCATCAACTGGTCTCTATATAAAGACGCTTAAATACAAACAAAACCAAAACCTAGACTTCTATCTAGGGATGTCAGGCCAATTATTTATGACTGTAAGTTTTTTTAATTACATCCGAATTCGAATCTTCCTCTCTTTAGATCAAATAAATTAAAACTAATTTAGACTATCGTTTGTGTAAAAAAAATTAAATATACCCAATCACATTTATAATTTTAATAAGCTAAACATGTTCATTACTATTTTTTCTTTCGTTTTCTATATAATATAAAGGACTAAACCAACAGAGAGGAGGTGGCTTCTTTTTCTCTTCTTCATTCACAAAGTCACTTTTGACTCTTTTCAACTTTTTTCAATACTTTATCCTTCATTCCAAATGCTTTTTACTCGCTCACTCACTCACTCTTGGAATTTGAATGTAATATATTTCTTCTTTCTACGAAGAAAAAATTCAACAGAGTCCAAAACCTGTGTCCTTTTTTTTCCAAGTTATAGTATATCAAAATATATATAAAAAGAAGCACAGGTTAGACACGAAAACCATATATGAGTAAATAAACCAAAGAGTTCCTCTCTTTTTTACCAAAGATGTCGTGCCCCGTCTTACCAATTCCAAGTATGACAAAGCAGAAACGGAAAATTTCATTCATAACTATAATTATTGCTTGACAATAATGCAATGCTGCCATGGATGATAAACAAAAATTGTCACCAACCAACCACCATGTATACTTGGTACCTTCAAGATCATCATATCATGATCTAGATATTTATCATTTTTGTCATCATCAACGGATATAATATGAGATTAGGGTATAATGTTCATGATGCAGCATCCCATTATCTCATCAACCCCATGCTCCTCTTTTTCCTCACTTTTTTTTTCACTCTGCAAACCAAAGTAACCATAATTATAGGATTTTATGTGGGTCTCCCTCCATAATAGACAAAACTATTCTTTCAATAAAGCTAGGTTATGCATGCATGGCTTGTTGCCCTTCTTTAACCAACAAGAGCATTGGGAATCTATAAAAAGCAGAGTCCTACAATGAAGAACGATATAGACAGTTACTCACGCGCGCATTATATCAACGGTCTAAACTTGGAACTTTTTCATAAAATGTTTAATGGCTCTTGTTTGCATAGCTCGATCACCTCATCCAACAATGTGTATCTTCTTTGACTTATAATTAGGTGATGCATAGTTGATAAAGACATTTGCTAGCTTAGAGTTAGTTTTTATCTTATCCTTTTCTTTTTCTATTATTAAATCGAGAGAAAAAAGAGGTGAGCGAGGAAGAAAGGAGAAGAGATAGAACGATTTTCAAAATAGAAATTAGAAATCAATTCCAATGATCATAATTTTTTCATCTAATTCTTGATTCCAATATAGTAAAGGGTGAATGAGTAACCATTAGGATGTGAGCCAATACTATATTGTATTATATTATAATATTCCTCCTCAACCCTCATGTAGGATCGGTCTTCAAATATATAAATTGTGCCTAATACTATAATATGCAGAAAGAGAGAAAGAAATGTTAGTAGGTCTTTAAAGGGCCCTTAGTGCAGGGATCTTGTGGAGGTGCATCACTACAAGTGATCACTAGTACTGCGTTATAGGGTTTTGTAATAAATAATTTATAGTTTTTTAACATTAGAAAGAACAGTACCATTAAACTATAAGTTAGTCGACGAGATTATCATAACCTTAACTTTTGATTCTAATTAAGTTTCTTAATTTATCAATATTCTTAAATATATGAGTCTAACAATTAGAACCTTTCTAAGGAAAAAGTAGCCAAAATTATGTGCTGAAATATAAAATTCTTACACAAGTGATCATATTTTCTCATTGTTTGAAACTTCAAGTACAGTGGTACACTAGTGACACCTAATTAATTTTGTTGGATTGCTTAGGCAAAGCACATGCATGGGCCTAACACATTAAACAGGAACCCCCCTTGTTCATCATTGCAGGTTGTGTAGTGATTACGAATTTATGGTTGAAAATTCGACAGGAATATCGAAAAGGAAAAGGATTTTTTTATGTCCCAGTTTTGTTTTATTTTTAAATAATTGAATGATTCTTCACCTTTTGCTTGATTATTGGTTGCAAACCCGATTAGACGACTTTACACTGTAAAACATTACTGCTATAATGATTACACAACCCAACAATGATTACGGTGTGGAAATCTTTTTCTTTGATCTACCCATGTGTCTGTGTGCTGCTTATATCCATCCACCGTCCTTCTTCATCTATTTTCTTATGTAAGTTTATTATTTAATAAAGGGTTAGGATTTACCACATTGTGATATCATTTGTCAATGTTACTAGCTTATAAGTAAAGGGATATTGCTTGACTCATTCCTTGTAAGGAGATATTCCTTCTTTCTGTGAATCACAGTTTGATACATATGCACACAAAAAAACTTATGTACACATGTAACATTGCTATTGGTAGGAATGTAGAAGCTCCTAAGTAAAGAAGAGTTAGTCAAATTTATAATGTCAAAATTTTTCCGTCTTTTAACTTAGCGTTATGATATTGAGAAGAGAAATATCACGAGACTAAAAGTTAGAGTTAGCAATTAATAGTTTATTACGAAGGTAAATGTTTATATAAATCTTAAAGAACTACTCCTCATATATAAATCTTAGGAATTGCGTTTCCTATTTTAATTTTGTGTTGTTTTGCCAGAGGAAAATTAGGTGGTTTTCATGCATCATGCATTCAAATAGAAAGTGAAAGGCATGGACAATGAAAAAAGGAAAGTGGGATGGTGACATCTTTAGTTTCTGTTTTCTTCTTTTTCCTTCCCTTTAATTCAAACTAGACAAATACTCTTCAATAACGTTAGATGTGCTCTTTCCTGTATCATATGTGTCGGAAAACACCAAGGAAATCATTCATTGCCATTCCAAGAGCTCTCATAAGATATATTTTTTTTGTAACTGAAAAAACAGATATATTTTCTATGAACGAACTCAAAGTGGTATGTAATTGGACATGATTAAGGTGAGGAGAGATAAAAAAAAATTAGTTTCATAATTGTTCCCAACCAAACACAAAACGTTGCTCGTAATTTAATCTCTTGTATATATATGTTTCATACTATTCGATTCCATTTCCTGTGATAGAGACACCACACATATGCCCCAACAATCAAATAATCCAACCAAGATCATCAAGTTGATCATCAACCATATGAGCAAAACTCAAACATCTACATCCCACAGCAAAGAAATTTGAACAGAAAAAAAAAAACATATCTACGGCTACAGATCGAGTCATGATCTGCACCCTCCACCACGTGTCAAAGACCCAAAAGCCCCTCTGGAAATCTCATGCAACCCGGGGTTGAACCCCAAGCAACCCAAGAGGCCATGCTTGTACGGCAAGAAGGTCTTCCTCCTCATCTCCTCCGTAACCGCCCGGTTCGCGGTGTAATGCAACTCGTGCGGCGAAACCGGCCCTCTCCTCCTCGAGCTCACCGACCCCACACTGTCGGTGGACCGAAAACTCGAGTTCTTCACATCCTCCGCAATACTACTGCTACTTTTCTTGGGGGACAGCATCGTGTACTTTCTCAACGGGTCTTTTCCAGTTGTGGCTCGGCCTTCTGATGCGCTTCGAAACAACAATAGATCTTTCAATTTCCACTTTCTACTTACTTTCGATGAAGAGAACGAGATCGCTGACAAAAATGAAGAATATGCTGAAGATGTGGAGGCCTTGTTGGAGTTGATTGTTGATGAAGAAACTGTCTTGTCTTCTTCGATGTCGAACATGACGTCCGACACGCGCAGGGGAGACAAAGATCTGGTTCCCTTTTTACGCACGGAAGGAGATCTTTCTCTCCCCCGCCTTTCTTCTTGATTTCCATATTCATACTCGTTCTTTCGGGTCTCATTCATAGCGGCAGCGAAAGGATCATCATGAGCCTGATGGTCCTTTCGGTGATGCCTCGGGGATAGTACTCCTTGGACCAATTTCTTTCCTTGGGAAAGTCTCGACGCTCTTGGAGACGGTGACCTCGGGGAAAAACCGGAGGGACCTGGCTCATCAGCTCCATTGCTCCCAACTTGTAAGCGAGGAGGGGGTTTCAGAGGCCTGATCTTGCCGCCGTCGAAGAGCTCGTCTGCCGGCAAGGAAGCCTTCTCCAACTGTCCACTAAAATCAAACTCAAAATCCTCCTCAAGATGATGACTATGATCACCATTAATGGTAGCTCTGGACTTGGGAATTCCGGGCTTCTCTTCCCACTTGAAAGGGATCGAAGAGGCTGAAAGTCTTGGACCGTTTTCGCCGGAGAAGTCGTTGAAGTGGCTGTAGAAGGAAGAGGCCCGGGTGGGGCTGGTGGGTGCGCTGAAGAAATAGTTGCCAAATCGAGTGGGGCTTGAAGGAGCAGTCATGTAAGGGGAGGAGCAGGCGCTGCTGTCGAAGTTGAAGTCCACAGGGGGCACTGGGTGAGCCACTTGTATCTCCATGAGTTGTTGAGCTGAAAAGCTCAAGCTCTAGTTTTGGGGGGTTTGGGATTTAAGGTTAGAGAAACAGTGAGAGAGTATTGGGATATATAGGAAGTTTAGAGAAAGAAAGAGGAGGGAGGATGAGAGGAAAGAGAGGGGAAGAAAGGAGGATAGTGGGTGAAGATTGACTAAATGACTAGAGTTGAGTCTAGAGAGAAGATTGGTCGTAGACGCCAACTTTATATATAAATCAACGGGCTCCGTAAATCAACTCACTCTTCCATCTGTAGCATTTATTATTCTATTTTCTCTGGTCCATCACCATGTGTAGTGTAGGTGGGTTTTGCCTGCCTTGGTTAGTATCCTCCTCTCTCTCTCTCTCTCTTGGATTTAACTAACTTTTGTTTCCGAATTAGAAAAATGAAAGAAAAATCGATGTCAATAAATAAAAGGAAATATGTTGTTTGGAATTGAGCATCAATTTACAATACTTGGGATATTGTGGATATTTTGTCATACAAATAAAATATCAATAATGTATTAGGTTTTGCAAATTGATGTTTTATGCTCTTACACTAAGGATTCCCATATTAATTGTAATTGATTTCCTTTTATTCCTAATTTCCTAATGTGAATAGAATTAGGAGTTATTACTTTCCTTGGCCTACAATACTTTCTTGTATTATAAATATAGCGTACTATAAGGAGAAGAATATATAGAATATTCTCACAAACAATATTCTTTCATATTTTAGTATGTTTGTCTTCTCTTTACGTATTTTTTAAGTTAGAAAGAGGTCATCTCTAAAAAATAAATCTACGTCTATGTCTTAGCAGGCCAGAGGTTGAGAACGTTAAGTTGTCAGCATGCATTATCCTACAAAGAAATGAGATTATTAATTTGATGCAAGCATAAGGGCGGCCAATTACGTGGCCTCTTGTTTTTGGTTTATTTCGTTGAAGGTCTTTAAGAAGCTTTTAAGGGCATGTTGTTGCTTATAAAATTGACAGATGACGGTGATTTTTGAGAAGGTCAGCCACATACATTGCTCTCAGCTGAGATCATAATATTAACAGAGATGAGAGATGGCGTAGTAAAGTGTTGGATTTAGTGCCAAATATCTGCGGCAGTAATTTGCTTGTTTTGGCTGGAAAAAAAAAAAACTATGTAATTTTGGGGTAGTCAACTTGGTAACTTAGGCACCACAGTCATTGTCATCAGGGAAAACTCTTAAAGCTGACAAGTAAACAAGTCCTATAGCTAGTATATTTTTGATCATTTGCAAAATGTCGAAAGAACGCGTATTCACAACAAACCAACCATCTTGCCAGTTGGGTGAGCTCTTTCATCTCCACCCACGTGAGCAAAGGTTAGAAACCTCCAGACATCCCCTCTCTCAATCGCTCATCTTGTCAAATTCTATTATAAAATAGAAATCATATTTTCAAATTAAAGGGATATTAATAATGTTACTCTCTATTGAGCAAGTAAATTGTCAATACAGTTTTTTAAAGAATAAAATGTAATATTTCTATCAAATTTTGGTACCATTATGTTTTATTTCCAATTTATGATTTTTCACGTAGCCTTTTACGTTTGTAGATTTTGGGTAAAATAGAGGAGAGGTACTTTTTGCGAACAAGATTTCCCCACTAGTGGTAAAGATGTTGACTTTTGCGACCTCCTTCTCCAGTGCATGGATTATTCACTTAGATTTTCGACCATTTTGCTTCAAATCAACAAAACATGTCGGTGCCCACATTTATATGATGAAATGTGTTCGTTTTTATATTTTTATTTCTTTATACATTTTTTTATATAAAAAAACTCGAAACTCATATTAATAAGTGAATTTCTTTCGCACGCAGATTGCCCTACCCCTATGATCCCTATCCCAAAATAAAAATATATATAATATGAGTTTAATAGATTTAGCACAATAATTACTTGTGAAATATTTATCCAGTGAAATAATATTTTCACTTCCAACTAATTGCCAATTGGTAATCAGTGATGGGATGCGATGCTGTCACAATCACATTAACATGATAGGATTTTATCCGTTTTGACATGCGTATAGGTGGGATTATTTATTCACGCCAACCGTCCAAATAAAATATACAAACCTCAACGCCTTGTTAAGGGAAAAAAAACATTCTTTACTGTTAGATTATCTTGAAATAGTTGATAAACATGAATAATTTTTTAAACTCTAATTATACGTATAATAAGACAAAGGGTTAATCATTTTATTAGTCTTTAAACTTAAACCCGATCTGCATTTGAGTCCCACAATTTCCGAAATCATTCCCATGATACTTCAACTTCAATTTCGTTAGGACAAATGGTTCTGCCGTCAATTTTGTTAACTTTTCTATTAAATGCATAAGCAAAATGGCATTTTTGTATTAAATTGATCAAAATATGAATAAAAAATTAAAACAATTAAAACAATTAAAATTAAACTCTCTCTCTCTCCCCCTCTATCCCGATTTCTACTCCCCCTATACTTTATTTATTTTTTGATTTGATTTTATTGTTATTTTAAAGATATGATTATTTATTTATTTATTTGGTTTTAATATAAAAATACTATTTTGCCCTTGTATTTAACAGAAAAAGTTAACAAAATTGACGGCATGACCATTTGTCCTAACGAAAGTGAAATTAAAGGACCACGGGAATGATTTGAAAATTAAGGGACTCAAATGCAAATCGGGTCTAAATTCAAGGACTAGTAAAACGATTAAGACAAATGAGGTGTATAGGTTATTGTCAGCCGTGAATATAAGTAGATTTTAGAATACATCAACGATCGCATGTGAGCCGCTATAGTATAACTCTATATAATAATCATACAATTTTCACTTGTTGCACACATGTTTTAACAACCTCATCATCTAGAACATAAGAAAACATCAAATAAGATGGCTACAATTACATCACTGCTTGTATTGTAAGCATAAAATCCACACTAGTTGCTTGCTTGCAGAAGTAGTTGAAGATTTTGCAATATCAATTATTATGTCATAGTCAATAGGCTCATCATCACGGACAAGGATTACAAGCACCCATTGGGAAGAGTGTTAAAAAAAACATTCTAACGTTCACAATGCCACTGCCTCTTCTTTATTTTGATATTTGAAAATCGCTCTCAATGACATGTGGGTTGTGCCCAAAGTCTTAAACACTCTTTTGTCCTATTAAGGATTAGCCCATCCAGTCCACTAGGGGCTAAAAGAAATATGACATTATCGTTAATTATCTCTTGTACTTGTTTGCATTTGCATGTTGAGATCGGGTTGTCTACATTTTGAACTAGTTTACAATATAATACCACATAAAAGTTTGTAATCTAACAAAAGTCATCCAATTCGTACATATATATATATATATATATACAGTTATTTTCTTATTCGGATATCTGCACGTGATGTTATTGTAAACAACCAAAAAAAAATTGTTTTTTGGAATTGAGCACCAATTTACATAACTTGGAATTGTGGATATTTTGTCAATGTGCCCAAGAGGTTCATGATTGGTTAAGGTCTGAACTAGCCAACCTATCTCAAGGATTTTCCAGGCCTATTCTATGGTATGCTTTTACACCTTTGTATTCTTCGTCCCGATTGAGTTTTAAGTTCTTGTAACCAAAATTGTTACATTACAGTAGTAGTACAGATATAATACTATTCATAGTTGTGTAAAACCATTTTTTGCTTGATGAGAAAAATCTGGTTGTGTAAAAAATACATGTATCTTTGTTTTGGGTAAAATAGATAATTGTGTTGTAAAATTAATTTACTTTTTTTTTTTTTGCTCTATTTAGTTTTGGGTCATTCATTTCCATGGTGTTGAAAATGGATCTCATGGTGATGGCCCAATTGCTCACCTTTGTGGGTGATAGTTTTGGCCCATATTATCCCAACATGAACGTTCTGCTCGGATCTTCGACCATGAACAATGAACAAAACTCAAGCGCAAAAGCATAATTTCGTGGGCTATTGATCGACTCGCCGCCGTTAACTCGCTTCACCGCGCCGTTCTCTACCCGCCGCCCAACTCGCTTCTCGTCACTCACTCCGCAACTTTTCTCGCCCAGGGCTTCTCGCAGCTTCTCTCCGACAAGTAAAGCCTTCTCAATTTCACTTTCATTTCCTCTTTCTTTAGAATTGCAATTTGTTTTTTTTTTCCTTGATGGGGTGTTCTGGTGCTCATTTTGTGACCAATGAGGTTTCTATTCGTTTTCGTTGAGGCACTGAAGAAAAATGTATATAATGCATATGAGGGATCTGGTGTTTTACTGTCTGCTACTTGCTCTAGTTCCTTATTCTTTCGAGCTAGAAGAAAGTTTGTGAGGAGTGGTTTTCTCGTATATGTGAGCCAATGATGAATGCTGGATTAGCTCTACAATGCCATGATGCTACAATTCAGTATTGTGCTCTGCGTTTACAGGAGCTCAGGAATCTTGTTGTGGCTTCAGCTTTGAATGAAAAGTATTGTATGTCAGGCAGAAGGTAAATTGGAAAAGGCTGCTGCGCACTTTATTCACTTGCTACAGACTGAGGAGTCGTTGAGTTCCTTGGGTTCTGATGGTTTACAGTGTCATTGCACACATCATTGAGTGTTATACTTCTGTTTGTGATTGGTAGAATCCTGGTTATCAGAGTTGCAAACCCTTCGTGCTAAGTATGCTGGGAAGAGTTATTGCGGTGTTCTCACAACAATGGGCAATGAAATTAATGCAATTCATTCCTTGGCATGGTATGATGAGGGTGAATTTCAGGCAGCATGGGCATGACTTGGTTTGACATCTAAAAGTAGCAGTGAGCTCACACTTGATCCGAAATTGGCCTTTCAAAGAAGTGAGCAGATGCTTTTACAGGCAATGCTTCTTCAGAATGAGGGAAAGGAAAATAAGATGCAACATGAATTACAGAAGGCCAGGTCAATGCTGGAGGAAACATTGTCTATTTCGCCGCTTGATATGTTAGAAGAAGCTGCAGCATGTGCTACCCAGTTGCACTGCATCATTGCATTTGAAGAATTTTACAAGATTAAAGGCAACCAAGATAAACCCAGGCAACTTCAGTCAATATTAAGTTCATATGTCCGACTTATGCATCCACAACATTGAGATGCTCTGGGGAAAGCCACCATGACTTTCTCAGCTCAAATTGCAGTATGAGGGCATCCTGCTAACCGCTTGATATGTTAGAAGAAGCAGCAGCATATGCTACCCAGTTGCACTGCATGGCATTTGAAGAATTTTACAATATTAAAGGCAACCAAGATAAACCCATGCAACTTCAGTCAATATTAAGTTCATATGTCCGACTAATGCATCCACAACATTTAGATGCTCTGGGGAAAGCCACCATGATTTTCTCAGCTCAAATTGCAGTCTGAGGGCATCCTGCTAATGCATGCTGAAAACAAGTTTGAAGATGCTTTGACGAACCTTTGGTCTTTTGTGTGTCCTTGCAGGTTTTCTTCACCATCTGTAGTTTCTGATGCTGAAAGTAGTATTCTGAAGGCCAAGGCATGCTTGAAACTCTCAAATTGGCTTAACAGAACTATTCAGATTTGAGGCTAGATGACATTGTTCTTAATATGCGGTCAGACTTTGAGATGGCTGATTCCTCTTCTCCTAGAAGAGGTAGGCCCTCATTTGGTGATGAGAGCTTAATCTCTAAACCACCTTTGGGACCTATCATTGAGGAAATTGTGGGCACAGCTACAAAATTGTCTACTCATCAATGCTCAATTTTGGGAAAATCCTGGATTTCTTATTCCTCTTGGTGTTTTAGTATGGCCCGGGACTCTCTCTTAACCCCAAATGAAAATACCCTGCACTCATGCTCCTTTTTACCCATCCTTGTTCATGAAGTTCTGCCTGAGAGATTCAAGCTAACTGAAGATGAGATCATAAAAGTGGAATCTTTGATTTTACAGCTTGTCCAGATGAGGAAATTGTGGGCACAGCTACAAAATTGCCTGCTCATCTCTGCTCAATTTTGGGAAAATCCTGGATTTTTTATACCTCTTGGTGTTTTAGTATGGCCCGGGACTCTCTCTTAACCCCAAATGAAAATACCCTTCACTCATGCTCCTTTTTACCCATCCTTGTTCACGAAGTTCTGCCTGAGAGATTCAAGCTAACTGAAGATGAGATCATAAAAGTGGAATCTTTGATTTTACAGCTTGTCCAGAATAAGGATGACGAGGGTTGCAGAGCTGAACAGGGAGAGTCGAACTACTCTCTTGATTCTGCTGAACTGAGAAATGCAACCCTGTGATGGCTTTGGTGCAGCAAGTAGTGAATATTATTGAAGCTGTTTCTGGGGCACCTGGTGCAGAAGATTGCAGTGACAATTGCCTTTCTGCTACTCTAGCTTCTCAGTTGAAGATCTGCTTTCTTTGTGCAAATTTTGGCCTAAATGAAACTGACATAATTTTTGTAGTTGATCATTTGGTTGTTGTTTGGTGGTCTTTGAGGAGGAGAAGAGTGTCACACTTGGGCATGCAACTCATGGCTTTATAAAGTATATTTTTCTTTGTGCAAATTTTGGCCTAAATGAAACTGACATAATTTTTGTAGTTGATCATTTGGTTGTTGTTTGGTGGTCTTTGAGGAGGAGAAGAGTGTCACACTTTGGGCATGCAACTCATGGCTTTATAAAGTATATTTCATATTCATCTGCAAAAATTTGCAATCATGGCTTGGCTGACTCTGATTTTGAGCCTCTGAAGCAAAAAGCTGGCAGCTATACTCTGAGGGCTACATTGAATGTCCTACATATTCTTCTCATATACGGAGCGGAGTTGAAATATATACTTGAACCTGCTCTTTCAACAGTTCCTTTGTCACTAACCATGGCAGGTAAGGGGCTCTTCCTTGGTTTGTTTCCTACATGTTATTTTTATTATAATTATTTATTGTTTAGTGTGGAAGCTGGCATCTATACTCTGAGGGCTACATTTTATGTCCGACATATTCTTCTCATATATGGAGCGGAGTTGAAATAAATACTTGAACCTGCTCTTTCAACAGTTCCTTTGTTACCAACCATGGCAGGTAAGGGGCTCTTCCTTGGTTTGTTTCCTACATGTTATTTTTATTTTTATTATTTATTGTTTAGTGTGGATGACTTGATTTCATTCTGATTACAATGTTCACTTCTAGGAAGTAACTCCCGACTTGTTTGCTCGGTTAAGTTCTCATCCCGAGCAAGTGGTTCGGAAGCAGTTGGAGGGCTCACTAATGATGCTGGCCAAGCAATCTCCTTGGTCCATTGTCTACCCAACACTAGTTGATGTGGATGCTCATGAAGAGAAGCCTTCAGAGGAGCTTCAGCACATACATGGTTGTTTGGTAAGGAAATTTCTTTCATTATTTTTATTATTAATTTTTTTTTCAGGATGTTGTGCATTTAGTGCAATACAATTAGACTCAAACAGAATTGATGGAAAGGACAAGTGGTGTAACGCGAGATCTACTTGGTGGGAGGATGTAGCTATTTTTGGAGATTAGGGATGAATCTGTAAAATTCAGGGACCTTTGCTACATTTTAGTCATATATTTATGACTGGGATCACATATGATGTAGTATGACAAGGATTGTTTTTAGTCTATGATGATGTTGAATTCTATGATTTTTTCAGGATGTTGTGCATGTAGTGCAATACAATTAGACTCAAACAGAATTGACGGAAAGGACAAGTGGTGTAACGCGAGATCTACTTGGTGGGAGGATGTAGCTATTTTTGGAGATTAGGGACGAATCTGTAACTTGGGGTATAATTCAGGGACCTTTGCTATATTTTAGTCATATATTTATGACTGGGATCACATATGATGTAGTATGACAAGGATTGTTTTTAGTCTATAATGATGTTGAATTCTATGATTTTCTACTTGTTTCTTTTGTTGTACTTGGCTCTGTAAGTGCTTTCATGTCTTGAACAAATTATTTCCATACATCCGTTTTCAACATTGAACGATTTATAGTGTGAAGTTGCATTTTCTATGGACAACCATTTTATAACAGTAGCGTATTTTGCTTCTACATTTCGTCTGAATTATTTTGTTTTAAGTTCCAGAGATGATACCCAAGGCTGGGTTTGAGGTTCCTATTAGATATATTTAGCCTTTTCTTCTTTTACATTACGTTTGGTAATGGAAGATAATAGATTCGAGAGAAAATATTTATAGTGTGAAGTTGCATTTTCTATGGACAACCATTTTATAACAGTAGCATATTTTGCTTCCACATTTCGTCTGAATTATTTTGTTTTAAGTTCCAGAGATGATACCCAAGGCTGGGTTGAGGTTCCTATTAGATATATTTAGCCTTTTCTTCTTTTACATTACGTTTGGTAATGGAAGATAATAGATTCGAGAGAAAAGAGGAGATATTTACTTTCCCTTATGTTTGATGTTTGAATAGGTAGAAGAGAATCAGAGAGAAATTTTAAATAGACATTTTTGAAAAACCAAGCAACACACAAATCTCATATTCTTTCCAAAGCTCTCTCTCTCTCTCTCAATGATCAGCCTAGTTGATTCAGTTGTCTGATGCTTTTTATTTTTATCCACTTTAGAATGTTTTTCTTGCACCTTGTTTATGTTGAAAGCTTCATTTGGAGTTTTCTTACATGTCTTCGGCATATTTCTGTTTTTGCTGTGACATTCCCCACATATAGATGGATGCTTTATACCAGCAGACCAACTTTATGCAGTTTCTCTAGGAACGCACTTTCACTAACCAAAATCATTTTTTCTTGTTTCTTCTCCCCTTCTGTTTTGGCTTAGGATCTAGAAAGTAGTTTCAGTTTTCTCTGTTTTCTTTAATGTCCATGTCTTACATATCTTTGGCATATTTCTGTTTTGCTGTGACATTCCCCACATATAGATGGATGCTTATACAAGCAGACCAACTTTATGCAGTTTCTCTAGGAACACACTTTCACTAACACCTTACACTAACCAAAATCATTTTTTCTTGTTTCTTCTCCCCTTATTTGAAAATAATTGAAAATAAATAGAATCTGAAGAAATTAGATTCTGTTTTGGCTTTAGGATCTAGAAAGTAGTTTCAGTTTTCTCTGTTTTCTTTAATGTCCATGATAATTGAGGGAATTTCAAGTAGGCAGACTCTTGGATTGTTGAGGCCCCAAAGTACCAGGTGAAGTACTTGGTGACCAAAACATGAATGGCAAATAGGCTGACACCTGTTTTGAAGGGTTGCTTTCTGTCCATCCATCTCTACAATGCAGGAAAGAAGCAGCAACACAAAGATGAGAGGAAACATTCATTTAATGCTGTCGTCCGATGCATAAAGTTGGCTCTAGCTCCACACCACTGCGGCCGAGGAAACTCGCATATTGATTCATACTGACAGATTAACCGTACATACAAACAAAATTAACTGTCTAATGACAAGTTAATGCTTTTCAAATTATCCTTTATCTTGAAAGTATCTAACATATACAGAATGAGTGAATAATAAGAAGGCACAAAGTGAGACCAACCCTTGTTTCTTCTTTTGGTGCAACCATGGCATGAGTTTTTACCACCAAAGGGCGAACCTTCGAAAGATGTTCCAAGCCTTAAAACCTTTTGGGACCTCGACCCTGATTATAAACTGATAATGTATTGAACAAGGGACTTTCCACAAATTCTTAACAATTTTTTTTTTTTTGCGTAACATATAACTGGCCTATGTTGTAAGATTTGGGATAAGATGGATTACGGGTGAGAGAGTCGATAGTCTTTTGTCAACAGTATGAGCTTAAACACTCCAAGTATTATTCCATTAAACATTGAAGCAGAATTTTCAATTCATAATGTTTAACTTCCATCTTTAAGATCGTACACTTCAAGTACATCGTCTCTGTAAAAAATAAATCACCTACAACCAACACCGATATTGTCTTCAACTTAACCACCTACAAAGGCAAAATCCTGATAATATTAGTAATGAAATCATTCATTATATGTTGTATTTTTATTTGTCAAGTTTTCAATGTGGAATTTTAAATTCTTCAACATCTATAACCTGACTAAAACATTAAATAAAATCTTCTGTTCCCTAAGATGGAAATGCCTCAAATAGGTGTAATCAGATTTATGGTTAGGGCCAAAAGAAACTCAATAATTATTGTTCACAATCTTCTGTTCTGAGTTTACTTCCCAAACATATGTATATTTTCGGGAGACAAAAAATTCCTGTCTGTTCTAAGATTGTCAGGCAGACCCAAAAAAACTCTAGATAAAGTACTAGACACTTCCTCCGAATCCACCTAAAACGTTGCTTGAGAATATACTAATAATATGATTTTCTGACAAAATTTAAAGTTTTAAATACCTTCAGTGCGTCACTATTTTAATTATTCCTATTTATTTTTCAGTACATTAAGTCATCATCAAAGCACTTGATATCTAACGTCTGTAAAACCTTTATCATTTAAATGAAAAGGTCAAACAAGCTTTTCTGTAGACAACAAAGTCAAATTAATTAATTGGCCACACGATTAGATATTTAAAAGTTACTTTTTCTTTTCTCCGTAACTAGAAGTCACTTTATAAAGAGACATCACTCATGTCAAGTGAGGATGAGCAAATGTGTATTCTAAGCAAAAACAAAGTCGGCCAAAACAAAAAAAAAAGCAAAAACAGAGATTTAAAGAAACAAAAAGTGATGTTAGTGAAAGAAAGGCATTGACTTATAGATTAGAGATATCAAATTCGAACTTTTATATCATCATAGTTGTGGAGTCATTATTTAGGTGATATCCTATCTCTTAGCCGTTGGATTAAACTAACTAATTTGATCCAGCGGTTAAAAAATATGACATTATCTAAAGACCATATAGAAGATCCTCACTATAAAATTCTTGCATAGTTTTGTCTGTGCGAGAAATCCCCCTAATTATCGTTTGTATTAAAATTTTTGTTTTTAATTTTAATAAATCAAACTTTTAAAAAATTATTCCTAATATCTCACTCCAATAATAAAAGGCATTTTCCGGTCGGGAAACAGCACCAACTACTTGGGAAATCGTCAAACTATAATGTCGTTCCTTCCTTAATTAATGGGTGTGGAAGATTTCGTCCGAAAAAAAAAGAGGGTGTTGAAGATCACTCAAACGACGCCGTCACAGAAAAATATTCTAACAAGTCGAGAGAATACGGAAAATCTCTGCGAAAATTCGAAAGGAGAAAAACACACACACACACACACAAAAAGCAAGAGGGAAAAGAGCGTGCAACGGGGGCTCAGAGACGCATCTAAATCCTACTGTTCTTCTTCACGAGAAAAAGCTCAAAACCCATCAAATATATATTAAACTATCTCTACTTCTCTCTCTTGCTTTTCCATTTTTTCATTTGTTTTTGGGTTTTCGAAATTAATGGCTATTATGAGGCATAAAGCTCGACAAAGCTAAAAGCACAAGGAGGAAGAGGAAGAGGAGGAGGAACATTTTGTTGAGTTGCCCAATGCTTTCTTTTTGAGCTTTCATACAATGGCTGATGATCTCTGTTCTTTCAAGGTTTGCTGTTTCCTGCTTTTCCTTTTAGCTCTTCACTCACCATTTTTTTTTCCCCATTTAAGACTGTTTTCTGTCTTTTCCTCTTTCTAGTTTTGGTATTTCTAAAATTATATTTGGGTATCAGATTCTGACCCTTTTTTTAATTTGTGGATTATTTTTATGGGTTGCATGTGAAATGCCCGATCTGGGTGTTGAAATATTTTACATTTTGATTCCCTGAATTCTCGGATGCTTTTTGTCTATGTATTCAAGCTGAAGCAAACCCAGATTTCCTTTTCATTAGGTTTTGATAGGGAGGGGTCTTAATCATACAGTTGTCATATTACTTAATAACTAGATGTGTTAATAGCTTAATCAAATGAATATATGAACCCTGGTCGTTTGTTTTTATAATTGCAATGAAACCCACGTCATTTATTCTTCAATTCGACTTGAAAGTTTATGAACTTTTGGATAGCTGATCAGTTTGTCTTATAAAGTTTGGACCTTTGTTAGGACTAATTACCACCCATGTCATTCTTATTATGTGTTATTCACCCTTCATTTTGCATTGCCTAATTCATGGTTTACAGGATATATTTCTTATAAAGGCGCCCAAGAAATCTCCGTTGGTGCTGAGGATGATTGTCTTGTTGTTTGCAATGGTCTGTGGTGTCTATATTTGCTCAATTTGTTTAAAGCAAGTCAGCACCCGCACCAACGTTGCCGGGTTTTTAAATGTCCAGGTGATTCAAAAGCCATGCCCACGACCTGATGTTGAGCCGGAGGAAGTTCCTTATGTGCACTACCCAAAGCCCATAACGTATAGCCGGTATGCTACTAATTTACTTGTAGTTTCAAGTTTGGTTTTGTTTGAAAAATGAAATGATATATTTTTCTGTGCATAAATAGGGCTGAATGTGCATGCAATCCTGTGCGATATTTCGCAATTTTGTCGATGCAGAGGTCTGGTAGTGGGTGGTTTGAGACGCTATTGAATAATCATACTAACATAAGCTCAAATGGGGAGATTTTCTCTGTTAAAGTTAGGAGAAGTAATGCCTCAACAATCGTTGAGACTTTGGACAGACTTTATAATCTAGATTGGTTCAGTAGTGCCTCAAAGAATGAGTGCACAGCTGCAGTTGGCTTAAAGTGGATGCTTAATCAGGTGAGTGCTTTTTCATGCATTTTTTATTTTATTTTTAAATTTCTGTTATTTAGCTATCCGCTGGTTTTATGGTGCGAGAGACAATGACATTGCATTTCAGTACATTTCTTATTTTTCAGCAGATTGTCATATCATATTAAGACAGGAATCTTCTTCTTAGCTTGTTTCTTTTAGATAGCCAGTTATTATTTGTAACAATTACATCATTGGCTCATTTTTCCTGTTGTCTACTGATTTATGAATTACTGAGATTATATATACTGTATAGTTTCAAGTCCTGTCAAAAAGCTTGTCTTATAGTTTCTGAGATAAATGCTTACCCTTGGAGAGTGATGGAGGATGTGTAGGATTGGATCGGGTAATTCCTTTATGATCTTGTAGGGTGGTGGGACTGGTTCAGAGATGTCTGGAAATAGGCAGTGTTGTAATACAATTGTTCTGGGCAACGGCTAAGCTTGAAGTTTATATGTTAAACTGTATACCCCATCAGAGTTCAGATGCTTCCACAAAAATTTAAACCTTGAAAAAAGAATTAGTAATAATAATAATATTCAATGTCTTGTTTAGCATTACATATAGATGTATGGCTGCTTCATTTTGGGCAGCTAGTTATTATCATGATTTGCTTGTCCTCGATGAAACAGAATAACCTATTCTGTCTAGGAAGCCTTCCTTCAAGTAAAGTAATTTGGGGATCCAAGAGCTAAAACAACTTAATTTAGCAAAAATCATATAGATTCCATCACAACTGATGGAATCTGTTCATCAAATTGTTCTATCTGAATGAGAGTTGCACGCTCTCTAAGTTATGACAACCTTATGCTTCGAAGTATAGGACCATCTCACTGCAACTAATGAGTTATTAACAAAGGGATCGAGTTGACTGAACTTTCAAACTCACTTGGTGTGACCCTTACGTGGATGTCTTGGCCAGAAAGGAATTCATTGCAAACTCGAATTTGTTTACATGGAAGTCGATTGGTTGTTTACCTTAAAACACTAAAAACTAGTAATTGTTTGATTTGCAAACTTATTAAATGTCATGGTTGCAGGCAGAGATACTTGCAAAATACAAGCCTACAATCAATGCAACTTTACTGATACCTAACCTGAAGCAAGTAGAGGATACAACTATGAAAGCTTTGGAGTATTTCAAAAGCACCCGGCATATTATCCTATACTATGAGGATATTGTTAAAAACCGAACTGTAAGAGAAACTATATGAGCACTGAACTGATCAGTATATTTGTTTTAAAAAAAAAAATAGCACCAACCTCTGAAATTTTCAATTTTGTGTGTTTGCAGAAATTGCTAGATGTTCAAGATTTTCTTAAGGTTCCACAAAGGGATTTAAAGAGTCGTCAGGTGAAGATACACAAAGGCACCTTGTCTAATCAGATTGAGAATTGGGGTGATGTTGAAAAGACACTTACAGGAACACAGTATGAAAACTTCCTCCATGCAGATTATCAACGAAGGTAAACAGCACCGGGGCGATGTATATACCATGCTTTGTCCTTTAACATTTTTTTTTCTTCTCTTCTCCTTAACCTCAGAAGCCAACAGGAGGTTACAGGTCACCTCCCTGTTGAAATTTTGGCTGCAGCTTCTGAATTTCAATTATAGCTTCCTTCTTGTTACTCAATTTTTGTTTCTTGGCCACTCTCAATTAATATTCAATTGATTCTTTCATCTCTCTTGCTCTACAAGAAACTTTTGTTGTGGTATTCAAACTAAATCAATAGAGAAAGTTGAGGCTTCACCTTGCAATTCTTTAATCTTTGAAACAAATTCCAAATGCAACTTGTTATTAGCCATCAATTAGCTTCTAATCACTTACTAATTTAAGGGTTAAATTGAGTAGGGGTTTTTTTCTCTTTGATTTGAGTGTGAACATTTAAAGAGAGAGGAAATTGCGGTTTACTTGTTTTGTCTGGTGAGCTCTCTAGTCTCTAGAATATACGGGATCTTTGACCCGCTTGTATAGGGTGGTCAAAGATTTACGATCCACAGCGGAACGCGTACGGCGTGCTTCCATCAATCTATATCGGCTGCGCTATTAAGGACCGTTGGATAGAACTCACGTATTTTGTGGGACCCATGATGGGTATTTTCCTACTTTGGCTAAAATAAGAAAAAAAACTCTCTTGTAATTGCTATTCCGGTCAATAACACAACGATACATAAAATCCGTTGAATGAGAGTTTCCTAAAATAGAGACAAAATTCAGAATCCCTCTCCATTCTCCAAAATCTCACTTTTTAACTCCCAAAAACTTGAATCTCTACATCGCATGTTATATAAGGAAAATGGTCCACTCCATTTTTGTTTTTGGGTACAAGATCCAACCTTCCTTTTAAGTGATGGCAATGAATTTTTATAATTATTATGGCCAGATATTTATTTTTATGTATTTATTTAACCAAAAAAAGAAAAGAGAATTCCTTTCTGTTGCCAAAAGTAGAATTTGGATTATCATAAATAACCTAAAATTAATTAAATTCTGTAAAAACATTGAATATTAAAAACAAAATCACAAGTCCAGGTCAATTAATTAGCATCATGCCAACCCATTGACTTACTGGAGTTACCTTAATTAGCTTTGGTTAATAAATAAAAAAATAAACAATAATTGCAACCAAGAAAAAAAGAAAAAAAGAAAAGAAAAAGAAAGCAGCAATACAATAATTTAGAGGAAAAATTTGTTAACATGCAATCCAGCTCACGGAAGCACCAGTCAGGCTGCATCCAGTCCATGTACATCGGA